GCGCGTCGCAGTGTGGACTGTTGGACTAATCGAGTTTATCGAATGTTGCAGAAAAGATGTGAATATGTTTTTTAAATAAAACATATGGTTTGAAAGAGCATAAAATTCTCTATCGATTGAGCATAAAATGAGTAATCGGAACCACGGAAAAGGGGATCAAAAAGCAAGAACAAAAGTGGCCGGTTTTATCTGGCCCACCCGTTAATTTTCAATACCAAATTGGTCTATATTATTTTTCGTTAAATCGATTGGAACGAGTTTTTGATCGAAAATTGATTTAAATGAATTTCGATCAGCAAATTCATTTAAATTGATTTAAAGAAAAATAATATACATTAATTTGGTACGAGAAATCAGTTTAAATTAATTTATAGACTCAGATTTCTTTGTAGTGTTTTAAACAAAATAAATTTCTATTAATTCTATTTGTAAATTAGTTCAAATAAATTTTTATTAGCAAATTTTTGTTTTAGTCATGATCAACAATCCGACATCGTAAAAAGCTTAATACAATCATCTTGTTCGTAACAGCATACTCTTAAATATAGTGCACTTTAGAAAATGTATACTATTTTAATATAGGTTACAGTTTTTATCACAGAATTGTATCCTGGCCGTTTTCGCTTTGTGAGAAAATTTTCAACAACAATTTCACAAAAGTTTTAATTCAGATGACCAACTATTTAATCTGAGATACGTAGTTCTGTAGCTGATTCACTTACCCAGGTGATTCTGCACGGGCAGAAACGTTACATTACATCAGAGTAATGCAGTCATAAACGGCCCGTGATATGATTCCATGCAAACGATGGAATTCGCTATGTTACGGCCGTTGTTTATTGTCATTAGCATAGGGCCGACCTTGATTTTGATCTACTACCGCTAGTGTCAATTTCAAGAAAAAAAACATTTTTGACAAAAAAATGTTTTCTCTGCTGTTCTCGATATCGAAAAACCTTTGAATCTGTAATTGAAAGTAATTTTTCGAACTTAACCTTATTGTGAAGCTCCTTTTAGTCCATCTCTAGATGATAAAACAGAGCTATAATAGTACAGTCACATTAGTATCGTACTTATAAACTATATCGTCGATGAACAGCCCGGGTTCGATCCTCAGCTCTGACATGTGTTTTTGTCTTTTTTTCCTTCATCGCCATAAATGACCGTAAACAAAATACGGCGAGTTACGTGCCGTTTTACAGAACACAGGTTTACGGAGCTCGTACGAGGAGTAAACTGCTCTTTACGTCACTGTTTACGACTGTAAACAAAAATGAAAACGGATGTTTATGATCATTTACGACTGCCGTAATTCTAGTTGATTTTAAGTGCGAAATTGATGTAAATTAATTTATTATCAAACATTACTACCAAAACATTAAACAAGTTTGAAGATCATTGTAGCAGTAGACGTGAGCTTTAATATGGTAGCGCGATGCATACTTATGATGGGGGAAAAGTGGTTTCTGTTCACATATAAATGACTGGATTAGGTTTTAGTTTAACACCTTTATTACTAAAACTAACGATATGCCCATGAGATAATTTTGTCACTCAAACGAAAATTTCAACGCGTTTGGAAGAAAATAATAAATCAGTTAGAGCGCGTTCAAAAAATGTTAAACAACGTGTTGGAGCGAGTTAGACATCTCTCCAACATGTGTAAACACGTTCATTTGCACATTCGCTAATTTTGAAAGCTAGAAACGTACGTTGAAACGTGTGCGAATAGTCGAACGCATATAGAATGGGGAGAAAAGTGCATTGTAACGTGTTGCAACGCGGTGAAATCGATCAAATCAACTTGTTCCAACGCGTTCCAGTTAAAATTCTATCAAGCTTGATCAATCTTTCTGAACGGGCTGGAACCTGCCCTATACGCGTTCTAACGCGTTAAACAGTTCATTTGACCGATTGCACCGCGTTACAACGTCTTAGATTCATTATTTTGTAGCTCACTTCTCGAGTCATTTTTCTCTCCTATAGGCAATCTCTTTCACCTATCTGACATTTCTCACCATATCTCACTTTAGCTTGGTCGAAGAGGCAGAAATCGTACTGTTTCTCTATCTCTAATCAAGCACAAATACCACCTTTCGCAAAACAAGATATAGCGATGAGAAAAATAGTCCGATTTCTGACTTTTCGACTAAACTAAAGTCAGATGCGGTGGGTGAAAGAGACTACCTGTAGAAGAAGAAAGAGGCATCAGATCGATGTCAAAACCTCTCAGCTCTTTTTATTTTTCATCACTCCGTTTTTGATAGTGAATCGAATATGAAATGAAAAGTATATGTCAATTTTTCATGCGTGACTTGATTTCTTGATGGTCTGGCGAATCGTCTCTTAAGACTTAGCTTCAAAATAAAAGAAGTGAAGCTGATAGAATGGTACGTCTAGGAGGAGATACGATTCAGCCAAGAGCTCCATTTCGATCCTAAATCGGCCTATAACACGGCAACACTTCAAACGGTTTTTTCAAACTCAAATTTGTACCACAGACTTATATGAATTATCTAAAGTTATTAGCCTCATCAAATTAGAAAAGCAAAGTACAGGTTCCGTTCTCATTTGAATGAAGAAAATACATAAAAATTCTGACTAATAGCACCCACTTCAAGACAGGTTATTGTTTCATTTTCTTTAAATAAACTTCAGCAATGTTAACATTGTCAGTGGATGTTCGTTGATCATAAATAGCTCGAATTTCAATTTTAGATAATACTCTTGACCATACAGTTACATCAGCTATCTGACCAACCCATCGATTTTCTTGTCCACCAATCCATATACTTGGCATAGGTTCTTTCTCTTTCTTATTTTGATATATTGTGATAGAACAATGTCCATCAACGTACACTTTTAGTGTATTATGTTCAGCGTTTACAACAATAGAAAGTAAATACCACGTTCGCGGTTCAATATAAGCGTCGGATGCAAAATATTGCGAAGGCATATTATTTTGGTTAATTTTCAATTTCAATTTGTTTTCCGATGACGTAATATAAAAGAAAAACCATCCACAATAACGATTACCTAAAGTAAGAATTGTATGACTAGGACGTGGTATTAGAGCTTCATTTAAAAACCATAATGTTATTGAATATGTTTTATGAATATTTCCCATTGTCGAACCACCATCTTTATACAACCAGGATTGACCATCTAGTAGAAGACAATTTGCTTTTTTGCCATCATTATCGTTTATGAAATTATCACATTGCTTAATACGTGGTGTACCATTTACGATTGTCGAACGAGAGAACGACGATGAAGTTGTTTCGTTGACGGAATCGAGTCCTATTTTCTTGTCATTATCAAATTTCCACCAATTTAATAAAGTTTTTTTACGATTTTCAAATGAAAAATAACGTTTAATGAACCAGCGATTACAGAGTAAACGATGAAAATGGCGACATGTCAGAGAAATTGTTGATAATAAATCGTCGAATGCAATATAGAAAAATATTTGTTGAATTAATTCAGATGGTAGTACACTGGTAATACAAGATGAAGAAGTCATCTAAAAACAAAAGAAAGTGCAATATGTTGGTTTTAGCCCCTAAAAAACTTCGTTTTTTCTAGAGTAACTGAAATAACGAAGCCAAAAGACATTTTTTTTCATTTGAATGAAACGTTCCATGAGGATTATTGATGTAAACAGTACGATATATATTGGGATGGATAGTAGTGTTAATGATCTTTTATAAACGCTATACTGCCGGTTTTGAATGTTTATGAACTATATTTGAGTGATTTGCAGTTTTGTTGTACCGTTAGGAGAAAAAAAATGAGCGAAAAAAACTTTTCGAATGTAAAGAAACTGAATTGTACATTTCATTGTGCTATATGAGAGGAGAAGAAGGAAAAAAGTTCGCAACTAGTACCATCAAGATAGCTGAGATACGAGAGTTTTTAGAAATACTTTAGAAATTCCCGAGGTTATGTGTGGAAAAACCTTTTTGTATAGCACAAAAATATAAGTATGGCAGACCATTTAATAGATCTCGATGACACCGACGCAATGGTGTGTATCGAACAGCGAAAACCGCAGATCTTTATCTCATTTCTGTCAAAACTCTATATGATTGTCACAAAAGCTCCTTGTCATCAACAAGTTTATCTCAGTGTGGAGAGACAGAGAGACTATTCAGCATTACCTTCTAGATCGTGTATATTACGCTAAAAGAAAAAATCTTATAATGATAATCTAAACAACAAATAATTTTCCCTTAAGTTCTGACCTTCTTGTGTAACGCTTTCGAAAGAAGAATTGTTTTGTATATATCATGCATATCTCAGCTATCTTGATGGTGGCAGTCGGGAACTTTTTTCCTTCTTCTCCTCTCATATAGCAGTTATAGACTATATTTCTGTATGTCAAAGATTTTCAGAAGAAGAGCAACGCGTTTTTTTGTCTTATTTCTCTCATCTTCTTTTTCTGTATCATCACACGTTTTAAGATATACACTGAAGATATGCACTGAACGTGTATTAACGTCGTTTCTTAGATGGATTGCCGACTGCCACAACATCTTTCATCTAATTGCTCAGATTCGTGGATTAAATATTCTGACAAAAATTTTCCGAAAAAGCTAATAAGAGCGGATAGGGCGAATGAAAAACGTTTTATTTGTAAAACCAATCGAAGTTAAGGGAAAAATGAAAAAGATTACGGATCTCGATTCTGTCAGCAATCTGTTAACGACAAAAAAAATTTCATTTAGCCCCTAGCTGCCACAGAAATTGAACTATTCTCCATCTGGCTTAGTTTCAAAAGGCTCTTATCAGTATATTGACGAGGGAACCTCTAGAGGTGATAAAACACTTTTTGCTCAGAATCTAGTAGGTTATAGGTTACCCATCATGCCAATTCCGAATATGAACATGGGGGTGGTCCTTAGACCTTCAAAGGTGCGGTTTTCTAGAAAACCAGTTTTCCAGAAACTCTAACCATAACCAGAACTTTTCTTAATAGGTATAGTTCTAGTCTGCAAAGTTCTGATTAAATTAGACGCCTCCCAGCTCTACACAACCTTTCGTTGCAAAGTTATA